TTTTCCCTCACCCTGCTGTGCCCGTACTGTGTTTGTTTTTCTTTTGTTGTTGACACATGTTGACAGCTCAGTTCACATATAATTTCCAGTTCTTTTGAATTGAAAATCCTACTCGAGTGGTTGTTCTCTTTAAGTAAGTTTTGAAATTGCAGAACTACATTTAAAGGTCCAGTGTGTAACATTTAGGAGGCTTTATTGGCAGAAATAGAATAGAATATTCATAGTGTATGTTTTCATAAATGTATAATCACCTGAAAATGTGTTTTTTTTGTTACCTTTTAGAATGAGTCGTTTTTATCTAGAGACGCCGTTTTGGCTTGTAAGTATTAATTAATAGTAATTTCACTGTCACGTTCCTTGGTTTAGGTGAATGCTTTGAGTTGTTCTGGCAGCGTGGACAACCTTGTGCTCCTGGACAGGCAGAAGTTTAAACCCTTGACCCAGGGAGTGGCCGCTGCTGGGTTGGTGATGGACAACGAGGTCAAGTGGAAAGTGGGCGAGGCCGAGTTTGAGTCCCTTATGAGGATGCTGGACAACCTGGTAAGTGAACCCTGACCTCTTCCTCTTACCAATCATGCTTTGAGCTTCCTGTCGCGGACGCTTCCCCGGGAAGTGTGATTAGAGAAACACAATGAAACATGTAATCTGAAAATGATTTGTGTAATTGAATCCTATTATTTTATCATAGCTGTCAGTGGATGAACATTTTTCACCACAATTACAGATACTCATGTAATTACTGTCAAACCATGTTAAGCACAGTGATCTGTTTTTTGTCCGTGGCTAACATGCTGTCTGCTGGTCTTGTTAAACCTTCAGGATTTCTGTGTTGTGCTGCACTTGTGTCAATTGAAACCCTGCTACTCTAGCCACGCTGCTAATGACCAGGCCCTGACATGTTCTATGGACACTGAAGATGTCAGACTGTCTGTTGGAGTGTGCTACTCGCTAACAACTGTGGCTAGAGTGGGCTGCAGCTGTGTTAGCTCTGTGTGATCCTCCCACCCTCTCAATCATAGCTTCCAGATGGTGAGACATGCTGTGGGCAGTTACAGCCACACAGACCACACAATCACTTACTGTAAGGACTCTAGTGTACTCAATTTGGAAATCAGATTTGGCCCCTTTCTTCAAGACTGTAAAACATGGCGCTGGGTACAAATGCCAGTACACTCATTGCAAGGGGAGGTCTGTCGGTCCGTGCCAGAAGGTGATAAAAATGATCTCAAAACACTAAAGGTCACAGCTAATAATACAGAGGAAAGGAGAAGATTTAGAACCGACCCTACTGTACAGTTTTTAAAGCAACAAAAAAGATAAAAGGACAAATAAATAGACTTAAAAGGATCTAAGAGTCTAGTCTTAGTTGCCAAAAATGACCAGTGTCATTGAAAATGTCTTCTCATCCATCCATTTATACATTTATTATATTCAAATGGCAATCTGCCACACTGAAAAGCAACCAATAGCCCCAAAATAATACTCTTATTGTTGTTCCAGCATACTCTACTTCTTGTAATCTGTGATTTATATATGTTTCTAGTCTCAACACAATAATTAAAGGCCTCTGTGCATGTCACTTTTTTACCAGTACGTCTTCCCTAATCTGGGCTAACTGAAAGGTGGTAACAGATACTGACTAGGTGCTTTCTGCTGCTGTTCATTAATCAGAACAATACATACGTCAGTCAAGGTTAAACCCAACGAGTGCAACTAATCACAATGTGACAGTCTTTGGAAACTCATTGGAAACTGCTTTTGGGAAAACAGTGAACAATGCTGTGAGGAAAAAAAAAAAAGACAATGGCTTGCTCACACTGTGGCGATCAAAGCCCAAAGCAGGGCAATTTTTTTTTTTCGGTTGTTATATTGCCTGTGAGAAAATGCCAATTTTGATTTTGATTGTAGTGTTGTACTGGCGGCTTCAGACTGCAGTCTGCGCATACTGCGAGTTCCCATCAGTTTTCTAGTTGTCTCTGCCCTCTTTGATGTATTGTTAACAACACACTCGTTTAAACCAAAGTTTTATCTGCTCCCTCTGAAACCGGGCACGTCTGCAAAAAAAAACTTGTATATACAGCGTTGTTTAAATATTTAGAAGCATTGTGTAAGTGGATCTTGGGTGGCCCTTGCATCCTTTTGAATTTTCTGTGTTTTATAGTAGACTGTGAGGGAATACTTAATACTGCAATCCATTTCACCTCGGGCAATGGAAAACTGTTCAATTAGAATAATGTCTCCCCTTTGTGTGACCTTTAGGGATACAGAACAGGCTACTCCTACAGGAACCCCATTGTCCGTGAAAAACCCCGCTCTAAGAACGACGTGGAGATCCCTGCCACAGTGTCAGCTGTGCCACCGGAGGACAGTGAGCTGGGTCTGCGAAGCCCCTTCAAGTTTATGGTGCAGAAACAGCAGAGAGAAAGGACCCGGTGGCTCAACTCGCCCAACAGCTACTTGAAAGTCAATGTTCCTGAACAGTCACCCAGCGGGGATGTCAGCCCCAGGACCAAGACTATGGTGCGTTGATTTTTCAACTGTTACAAGAAATGTAATAATCTAACCCTTACTGTTCTGGCCTCTGAAGGAAATGGTGATCTTAAGCTGCCATTCCTCTGTATTAGCCTGCCCTCTGGTGGCCAGTTTGATTTGTGCCCAGTTTTTATTTATCTGTCTTTTTTTCTACCCTCAGTGGATGAAGTCTTCACAGCCAGGCAACAGTATCGGTACACCAATAAAGATTGAGGACCCCAACCAGTTTGTCCCACTCAACACTGATCCCACAGAGGTTCAGGACAAGAGGAACCGGGTCAGTTGGAACACATTTTTCACACAACATTGCTCCTGTACGCTTTAATTCTCAGACTGTCAAAGACTTAATTTCATTCATTCTTATTGCCTCTGACGCTGATTGGAGCAACCAGGCTTCTTGATGAATCAATTAATTGTTTAGTCCAAAAAATGACAGAAATTTGTGAAAAAAATAACCATTATAAATCCTCACAGCCCAAATCGATATAGCCAAATTACTTTTTATTTAAGCAAAAGTTAAAAAAAAAAAAAAAAA